TTTTTTTTTTTTTTTTTTTTGGCTTTAGTGTCAAAGGTAACAAAAGACCCTGACTAGCAAACAGAAATGGGAGACCACCCGTTGCCAGCAGGTCTGTTTGGACTCATGGCACCCTGTGTGGGTCGTAGTAGACCTTGCTCCAGACAGTTCACAATGGCTCATTTTTCAGAAGGGGGTTGCCAGGTCTTTCTTTCAAGGCACCTCTGGATGGACTTGACCACCAGCCTTTTGGTTAGCTGCTAAACGTGTTGACTGTTGTACCACTCAGGGGCTGCAGATGTGGGAGAACAGCTCTGCCCTCGTCTGCTTCCTGCCTTTCCAGTTAGGCCATTTCTTTTAGTTTCCTGTTTTGATTCCCTCGCAGCCCCTCGGCTGTGGGTGACTTGTCTGTGTTGTCACCATGTTAGCAGATGGGCAGAGTCGGGGGGAGTTCTGATTCGCCTTTGGCCAGCACCTCATTCAGCTTCCTGTGTATGGCCTGTTCGTGGAGCACTGGTGTGTAGCGGTTAAGGGAATTGGCCGCTAACCAAAAGGGTGGTCGTTCGAATCCACCATCTGCTCCACAGAAGAAAGATGAGGCAGTCTGCTTCCGTAAAGATTGACGGCTTTGGAAACCCAATGAGGGTCTCTCTGAGCTGGAATCGACTCGATGGCAGCGAGTTTGGTTTGTTGTTTTTAGGTTGTAAGCACATAAGATGACTGCTCATCCTGGGCTTATTTGCTGAGCACCTACTGTGTACCAGGCCCTGTTCCCAGGACCAGGGATACAACGGTGACGACAGACCCCTGGCGGAGCTCATGTTCTAGCAGGACGATGGAGCCCTCCCACAGAAGCCAGAACTGGTGTGTCAGGTGCATGGTAGACAGGCCGCTGATTCGTGCTACGGAGAAAAATAACCTCAGGGGGTTCGGGGGTGGCTTTCACACAGCGTCTGTCACGCCCCTGCCTTGGGCTAAATGTCCTCAGCCCTGTGTGCACGCCCTTTCTCATCCTCACCACAGCTCATTGAGGAGACAGCTGTCTGTCTGTGAGGCCCTGAGGAAGCTTAGGCCGCGAAAGTCACACCGTTGCGAGGGCAGAGCCTGGATGCACACCCAGGTCTCGTGATTCCCAGTCCAGGTCCCTCACAGCTCCCAGACACACGGCTCTGTGTCGTTGTCCTAGTTTGCTTGGGCTGCTATAGCACGAGTGTTGTTGTTGTTTGTTATGTGCCGTCGAGTCGGCCCCGACTCATAGCGAGCCCTCCTTGGGTTTCCGAGGCAGTATCACTACGGAAGTAGGATTGCCCAACCTTCCTTCCGAGGAGTGGCTGGTGGGTTTGAACCGCCAGCCTTCTGGTTAGCAGTCAAGTGCTTTAGCCACTATGCTACCAGAGCTCCTATAGCACGAGTTGTTGTTGTTGTTATATGAGGTAGTATCACTACGGAAGTAGATTGCCCCATCTTCCTTCCAAGGAGTGGCTGGTGGGTTTGAACCTCCAGCCTTCTGGTTAGCAGTCAAGTGCCTTAGGCACTATGCTACCAGAGCTCCTATAGCACGAGTAGAGGGCTTTAAAAGACAGAAATGTTCTCTCTCACAGTTCTGAGGCTGAAAGCCCCAATCTGGATCCTGGTTCTAGAGGAAGGTCCTTGTCTCTCTCAGCTTCGAGTCGCTTCCGGCAGTTCTTGGCCTCCCTAGGCGTCTGGCAGTGGTGTCTTTCTTTCCCTGTGTGTCTCCCTGTGTCTGTCTTCCCTTCTTCTAAGACAGCACTCACTTAGGCCCCACCAACCTTACTCTGCTGTAACGTCATTCACAGACAAAACAAAATCTGTTTCCAAATTGGGTTATATTTACAAGTGACTCGGGTAGGGCTTTGTCACAGTTCCATCCATGAGAGGAATTTTCACAGCAGCGTGTGGGTGATGGCCACCAAGGCCCAGGTACTCTTCCCATCAGGCATACGCTGGACCTGGTCAAGTACATCAGTGACACTCCCTCCTGAGTTCCTCATGTTCACACTTTCTCCTCCAAAGAAGGGGAACTGACCGATGATTTTATTTGGAGGGTCCATTTGACCAGCTAGGAACCCTGTTGACTTATGATAGACTAGTAAACGTGTGTGTGATTCATCGAGGAAAACCGACCTTCCTTTGTTCCTTGAAGGAGACAACCAAACAGTTTTCCCTCGGTTGTTTGTACAGGAAGTAGAACTCTAAGCAGCCTATAGGACGGAGTGCAGGCAGCTGGGGGAGTGGCTCTGGGGAAGGCATCGGGTTTATTTCCATGGACAGAATTCCTCCAGCCTCGGATGAATTGCTCATGTACAGGACGGAGAGGGGCTGCCCGGGTATCCCCCCACGTCCTTGTTTCTTCAGCCACGCACCTTGGCCTAGATGGCATGTTTCTGCTGTTACATCAGTCTGCACTGGTAACACACAGGGCTTAATGCCGAGAGCCACACGTTAGCTTGACTCCTTTGTAATGCCTTGGCATTTTTCAGACGCTTAAACAGTTGCCCAAAATAACATGAACTACGACCAGAAATAAAAGCTTTGTTCTTCAGGGCCTGTGGACAGCCTGTTTCCGTGTGGTGGATTTGAATGGTTATTTTTAAGGGGTTGGAAGAGACTGGCCTCGCACATCTCCTTTCAGCTGAATAAACATTTTGGTGAGGGATGGGTTGAACTTTGAAAGCTAAGAAGCGGTCCAGTGGTCAAGCACCCTTCCTGTCCGTGAAGTCAGAGCCTGCGATACGCTCATTAGTGATAGAGCTATGGAAGGCCCTTCATTGCCTGTCCCTGGTCATGTGCAAGGGCCACTTTGTGCAGAGTGTCACCATGTGCCATGTGTCACGGCACTCGTTTTCTTTTCTTTTCTTTTTTTCATTATTTTTAGTGTGATTTGGGTGACAGTCTACAGAGCAAATACGTGTTCCGCACAGCAGTTCATTCACGTTGTTTCATGACATTGACTGCAGTCCCCACAGTGCGACAGCTCTCTCCCCACCTCCCCCTGTGGTTCCTATTTCTGTTGGTCCTGCTTTGCTGTCCCTCCCTGCCCTCTGAGCCTCCTCCCGGGGCTACTGCTGCCCTCCCGATCTCGTGGCCAATTGTTCCAAGGAGCGCCTACCTCCATGGTGCATTGCTCACCTTGTAGGCCTGTCTCATTTCACTGAAAGTTGAGCCACAGGGGGGAGATCGGTTCCAGGCTTGAAAGGCGTCTAAGGGCCACAGTCTTAGAGGGCCCACCAGTCTCTATCAGCCCAGCAAGCCTGGTCTCTAGTTCTCTTGGCAGCACCAGTTCTGGTGAGAAGTTGGTGAGAGGAAGGGCCTTGCTAGTGTTGTTGACTAGGCCCTCTGCGCCATGCATGCCAGGGCGACACGCTGCATGATTGTGCCCTGCACCAGCCCCATCATCGGGGTGGGTCACACCACTGTGACACGTAGGGTTTGCACTGACTGAGTTTCGGATATTGATCACTGTCAGGCCTTTCTTCCTCGTCTGTCTTCGTCTGGAAACTTGTGAAACCTGCTCAGCACCGTAACAACACACAGGGCCCAGTGACAGGCAGCGGTGGGTGCACATGAAGTGTCTTAGCCAGTAATCGAACCCAGGTCCCCTGCGTGGAAGGCGAGAATTCTACCCCTGAGCGGCCTCATCAGATGAAGGGAAAGTTTGGTCAGAATGAGCCACTTGGAGGATGTGGGTGGGGTGAGCTGTTCCCCTTCCTCTGGGGACTTCACTTGAGGCCTTTCCCACCCGATGTGGGCTGATCCCGTGGAAAGTGATTGAGGGAAGTGAGACAGTGGTGTCGGCTGGTCAGCCCGCCGGGCTGATAGAGTCCAAACCGAATGTCACTTTGGGGTCTTTCTGTTGGATAAGAGCTGCGTGTTTGCCTGGACTGGAGGACCTGATGCTGCAAACAGTGAGCATGCTCAGCCGCTAACTGAGAGGGTGGGGGTTCGAGTCCACCTGTGGTGCCTTGGAAGAAAGGCCTGGCAGGTTCCTTCTAAACACTCAGCCTTTGACCCCCCAGTGGGTCAGCTCTGCTCCGACCCACGTGGGCTGCCCGGTGGCACAGTGGACTCGGCAGACACTGGTGCTTGACCTGCTGGGCTGTTGTCCACGTGTCTCTCGGCTCTCTTCTCCTGCATGGGAGACATTGGTAGCCCCGTGGCCTTGCTCTCACCATCTGTCTCTTTGTTTTGCACAGTGCCTTCCCCCAGTGCCTTGCTGATAGACAATCCTGCGCCTTTCGGAAACGCCAAGGAGGTGATTGCAATCAAAGACTACTGTCCGACCAACTTCACCACCCTGAAGTTCTCCAAGGGCGACCATCTCTATGTCTTAGACACGTCGGGCGGTGAGTGGTGGTATGCCCACAACACCACAGAGATGGGTTACATCCCTGCGTCCTATGTGCAGCCCCTAAACTACCGAAACTCCACCCTGAGTGACAGCGGCATGATCGACAATCTTCCAGACAGCCCAGACGAAGTCGCCAGGGAGTTGGATTTGTTTGGCGGATGGACAGATGACAAGAGAGGGTCGAGCAAAAGCTACAGTAATAACCCTTTCTGGAATGGGGTCCAAACGAATCCATTTCTGAATGGGAACATGCCGGCGATGCCCAGCCTGGATGAACTGAACCCCAAAAGCTCTGTGGATCTGCTGCTTTTCGACACGGGCACGTCCTCTTTGACCGAGTCCAGCTCGGCCACCACAAACAGCACCGGCAACATCTTTGAGGACCTTCCATCCACTCATCGACTCAACACGGAGCAGCCGGTCAGGCGCGACAACCCCTTCTTCAGAAGCAAACGTTCCTACAGTCTGTCAGAACTCTCTGTCCTCCAAGCCAAGTCCGACGCCCCCGAGTCCTCAGGTTTCTTCACCGGGTTGAAATCCCCCGCCCCCGAGCAGTTTCAGAGCCGGGAGGATTTTCGGACTGCCTGGCTGAACCACCGGAAGCTGGCCCGCTCTTGCCATGACTTGGACTTGCTTGGCCAGAGCCCTGGTTGGGGCCAGACGCAAGCGGTGGAGACGAACATCGTGTGTAAGCTGGATAGCTCGGGGGGAGCCGTGCAGCTCCCCGACAGCGGCATCACCATCCATGTGCCCGAAGGTCACGTGGCTCCTGGGGACACTCAGCAGATCTCCATGAAGGCCCTGCTGGACCCCCCACTGGAACTCAACAGTGACAAGTCCAGCAGCATCAGCCCGGTGTTGGAGGTGAAGCTGAGCAACCTCGAGGTGAGGACCTTCATCATCTTGGAGATGAAAGTTTCTGCCGAGGTCAAAAACGACATTTTTAGCAAAAGCTCCGTGAGCCTCCAGTGCCTGAGGAGTGACTCCAAGGAGGGTCCATACGTCTCCATCCCACTCACCTATAGCTACGGGGACACGGTCCAGGTCCACCTGGAAAACCTGGAACCCTGCATGTACCTAGCCATCGTTGCCCACAGCCCGAACATTCTCTACCCGGCCACTGTGTGGGACTTCATCAATAAAAGGGTCACCGTGGGTCTCTATGGTCCCAAACACATCCACCCGTCTTTCAAAACAGTGGTGACCCTCTTTGGGCATGACTGTGCCCCAAAGACTCTCTTGGTTAGTGAGGTCACCCGCCAGGCCCCTAGCCCTGCCCCAGTGGCATTACAGCTGTGGGGTAAGCACCAGTTTGTCTTGTCCCAGCCCCAGGATCTCAAAATCTGCATGTTTTCCAACATGACCAATTACGAGGTCAAGGCCAGCGAGCAAGCCAAGGTGGTGAGAGGGTTCCAGGTGAGACTCAGCAGGGTGAGTCGCCTCACGTTCCCCATCAGCTCCCACAGCCCCAGCGAGCTCTCCGACTTCACCTTGCGGGTCCAGGTGAAGGACGAGCAAGACGCCCTCTTGACCCAGTTCTGCGTCCAGACCCCCCAGCCCCCGCCCAAAGGTGCCATCAAGCCATCCGGACAGAGGCGGTTCCTCAAGAAGAACGAAGTGGGGAGAATCCTCCTGTCGCCGTTTGCCGCCGCCGCCAAGTACCCGACTTTCCAGGACCGCCCCGTGTCCAGCCTCCAGTTCGGCAAGTTGCTGAAGACGGTGGTGAGGCAAAGCAAGAACCACTACCTGCTGGAGTACAAGAAGGGGGACGCGATCGCACTGCTCAGCGAGGAGAAGCTGCGCCTGAAGGGGCAGCTGTGGACCAAGGAGTGGTACATCGGCTACTACCAGGGCAAGGTGGGCCTGGTGCACAGCAAGAACGTGCTCGTGGTGGGGAAGGCCCGGCCCAGCTTCTTCTCGGGCCCGGAGCTGAGCACCTCGGTGCTGCTGGAGCAGATCCTGCGGCCCTGCAAGTTCCTGACCTACATCTACGCCTCCGTGCGGACGCTGCTCATGGAAAACGTTCGCAGCTGGCGGGCCTTCGCGGACGCCTTGGGCTACGGGAACCTGCCGCTCACCTGCTTCTGCCGTGCGGAGCTGGACAGCGAGCCCGAGCGCGTGGCTTCCGTCCTGGAGAAGTTGAAGGAGGACTGCAACAACGTGGACAACAAGGACAGGAAGTCTTTCCAGAAGGAACTGATGATGGTGAGTGGTGGCCAGTGCTGGGCTTGGCGGAGGGTGGGGGTGGCTCGCCCAGGCCACCTGTCCCCGACCCATGTGGACACGGTGTGGGAGTGGCTCCCCTGACCACCTGTCCTTGTTCTCGTGGACACAGGTGTGAGGGGGGCCTCCGCTGGGCTACCTGTTCCTGGTCACTGTGGACACGGTGTGGGAGTGGCTCTCCCGGACCACCTGTCCCTTGTCTGGGTGGCCGTGAGTGTGGGTGAATGAATTGTCAGCACCACGTGGGGACAGCCGTCAGGGCAACCGTGAACTTCTGGCACTGCGTTCAGTGTGTTTCAACAGTGCACTGCCCACAGAGAACTTCCGTGTGGTCCTTAAACAAACTGAACATCAGACGAGTCATTAGGCGGTCCATCCCAACTCATGGGGACCCCCCCCCCCGTCACAGCAGCCCTGCTCTCTGTGGGTCTTCACGGGTGACTCTCAGAAGCCAGTCGCCCACCCCGACTCATAGGGACCACCGGTGTGTTACAGCAGCCCTGCACTCCACAGGGTCTTCATGGGCGACTCCCGGTGACCCCCGCTGGGTCACAGAGCCCTGCGTCCCACAGGGTCTTCACGGGCGACTCCCAGTGACCCCCACTGCGTCACAGAGCCCTGCGTCCCACAGGGTCTTCATGGGCGACTCCCGGTGACCCCCGCTGGGTCACAGAGCCCTGCGCTCTGTAGGGTCTTCACAGGCAGCTCTCAGAAGCTGGTCCCCAGGACTTTCTTCCGAGGCACCTCAGAGTGGGTTTGAACCGGCAGCCTTTCTGTCTGCACCTGGTGAGTCCTTGTGATGCTTCCACATGGACATGCGGTACCGTCACATGGATTCCAACTCACAGCGACCCGATAGGACAGGGTAAAACTGCCCTTAGGGTTTCCCAAGCTGTGATCTTTACGGAAGCAGACGGTCTCATCGTTCCCCCTCAAAGTGGCTGGTGGGTTTGAACCTCTGACCTTGTGCCTAGCAGCCAAGTGCTTAGGCACTGCCCCAGCCGGACTCCTAATTGTATGCCGACCCAAAACCCAACCCATTGCTGCTGAGCCAATTCGGACTCACAGTGACCCGATTGGACAGGGTACGACTGCCCCTCAGGGTTTCCCAGGCTGTAATCTTGCCAGGAGCAGGCGGCCACATTTCTGACTGATGGAGCAGCCATTGGGGTCCATCTGCCCACCTTTTAGTTAACAGCCGAGCACTTAACCACCGCACCACAAGGCTGTTCTTGTGGTCCTTAGAGGCCCCCTGTGGAGAGGGTCACTCAGTGTCCTTTCCCTGCTGCGACTGGGCCCCTGGAAGGTCAGTGAGGGAACCTGAGTGTCCATCGGGCAGGGTCGGCGCAGGGGCCTGGGTTTGTATTTTGGGGCGATCTGTGAGGTCTGGGTCCCAGGAGCTATAAAAACCACACCCAGTGTTCTTTGGATGGCATTTTCTCTCCTTCTTACAGAGACTTCCGGAACCTTCTGTCTTTAGGTTTGAGGTGGGGTGAGAACAGCCTTTGTTTGAATTGAATCCTTCAGAAGTCAAAGACAAAAAGAGAAGTGGGTGTGGCATGAGGAGCCACACTGCCCCCCAGCCAGCATCCTGCCCCCGCCAACTGGCCGGCGTTTACTGAGCCCGGTGCAGGCCCGGCTCTGCCCAGGCCCGGCCCAGGCCACCTCCCTTTAGCTGCCACTTCTGACAGTTAACCCTGGGAAGCCAGGGCCATCCGCTTCTCGGCCACCCTGTGGGGCTGCTCCGACGTGCTGTCACCGGCCTCTGTGACGGAAGCAGATCCCGCCCCTCCTGTCACCCCCATCCTAGCAGCCCCCACAGCCACAGCCCCCAGCCTCCTGCCAGGCCACCCTCCTACCAGCCCCACATCCTCCTAATGCAAACGTGTCACTAGTTTTGTTTCCGTGGAGAGATAGCTGTGACTGTCATGTCCTTTTCTGCCTTGTTACCTTCCCTAGCCCCCTCACACCCACCACTTCATGTCAGTACCTCTTGGATAAGTCTCCCTTGGGGTAAGTGCATTGGAGGGAGGACCAGCTGTGTCTGTCTGAGGCTCTGAAGATGCTTGGGCCACACAGCTGTGTGGCTAGGATATCCCCCCTGCCCCCCAAGCCAAGTGGACACAGGGACATAGTGCACCGCGGCAGGGCCCGCTTACAGAGAGCCTGTGCTCACGCGAGACAGCCCTTCCTCCCCGCCCCGCGAGCTGCTCTGTTGCTGCGACACCAGGACTCCACGGAGGAGGAAGTGAAACTTGGACATGACTCTGGCAGGAGTGTTGCCCAGAGGCCAGGTTCGGTTTTGTGGTGATAAGGTGGAACTGGTTTTGCTGTTGTCCTTCATCCTTCCCGCTCCCTCCCCCCATGCCAGCGTCAGCTGTGAGCAGGGGAATTCGGGTCACTGGCCAGGGTGGCTGAGGAGTGGGGACGCCAGGTGTTTTTACTGCAGAAGGGTCACTTGTGGGGCCACTTTCAAATACAGCCACAGTGCCACCCCTCAACCAGAGCAGGCCTCCTGGACCCCCACCTTTAAGAGCTGAGTGGTGTTCTAGTGATGGCTGGCTTTGGAAATAGTGTTTCAATGTCGGTCCGTGCCGGAGGTGGAACTTGTGGGTTAGAAAGACATTAGATGAAAGGGCCCCAGATATTTTTTCAAATAAATGTTTTATTGTGATTTGGGTAAAAGTTTAGAGAGCGAACTGGTTTTCCATTCGGCAGTTGGTACACATTTTGTTCTGTGCCCTTAATTGCTGTCGCATCTTCCCTGTGTGTCCCATTCCACCCTTTCCTGCCGCTTCCTGCCTCCTGAGCGTCTCCCTGGGCAAACGCTGCCCTTTGGCTCTCCGGTGGTTGACTATTCTAAGGAACGTGTGCCTCCTGGTGCAGTTGTTCATTTTATAGCCTGTCTGTTGTTTGGCTGAATTGAGCCATGGGGTGGGTTCAGTTCAAGTTTGAAGGGCGTCTAAGGGCCATACGCTCAGGGGTTCCACAGGTCTATCAGACAGTAAACCCGGTCATTTTTAGGGCCCCAGATATTTGAAAAGTTTTTGAAGGTGAGTTCTGCCTAAACGTTGACAGGTCAGACGCATCCAGCAGTGCGTGGAGGAAAGGCCCGGAGCTGTGCTTCCACAAAGGTCAGAGCCCAGGAAACCCTGTGGAGCAGCTCTGCTGTGTTCGAATGAACTCAGTGGCAATGGGTTTGCTTTCTCTTAACTTGTAATTTGGGTGAAAGTTTACTGAGCAAATTCATTTTCCATGCAACAGGTCATACACATTTTGTGTCATGACATTGTGGATTTTTTTTGGTGTTTGTTTTATTTTGGTTTTCTGCGGGCAAAGGCAGAGTGTGGACAGCTGGGCAGGAGGCACACAGCAGCTTCCAGCAGAACAAGGAAGACTCCAGAAGACGGAGCTGGAGTGGCCGTGCCTCCTCCGGCCCCACTCCCTCTGTCTCTGGTGCCGCCTGTGTGCTTGGGCACTGGGATCTCAGGGAATGGGCCAGGGCGTGACAGGGTGATCGTGGCCCCAGTGAGAAAGGGCTCCACTGTAGGGAGACCGAGGAAAGGTAAGTGGCGGGGAGAGGCGGGCTTGAAGGATGAGGGGGAGCCCTCCACCCCGGTAGAGAGGGCGGTCAGGTTGGAGGGCATAGCACAAGCCAGGGCCAGGGGCACGGAGGAGCATGGAACGGGGTCAGCCACCCCAGGTGTGGGGTGGCCACGGTGTATGGGACAAGGAGAGACACCTGGGCCTGGTGATCCTTGAGCTTTCTTCGGTGCACCTCGGGGAAGGTCTGAGCGTGCAGCTTGCTGTCAAGTGGGCTCTGGAGACCTCAGGGACAAGCGAACAGCTGCCCGGCCCTGCAGGGTCTTGATGACCGTGGGTATATTTGAGTCCCTTGTTGGAACATTGTGTCTGTCCGTGTCCTCACGGGTTTCCCTCATTTTCTGACCCTCTGCTTTACCGAGCACCATGTCCTTTTCTCATGATTGGTCCTTTCTGATGATGCTTCCAAAATGAGTGAGTTGGAGCCTCGTAGAACACCGTGTGCCCGTGGGGTTCATGGCTCCTTCTCAGATGGGGATCACCAGCCTTTCCTCCTAGTCTGTTAGCCTGGAAGCTCCGTTGAAGCCTGTCCACCGTGGGGGACTCTGTTGGCATGTGAAATACCAGTGGCCTAGCTCCCAGTGTCATAGCTGCCTGGAAGCCACCACAGTAGACAGACTGGCAGATGGAGGATGGTATTAAGGGGCGAGATAAGGCATCAGGTATGATTTGAGCCCAGGTCAGCTGCCACGTCAGCCCACGTTTATCCCCGCTCCATATGCTTCCGGTGTCGCCGAGCCCCCAGTCACAGCTTAGTGCATCCCCTTGCATGCAGGGTAATGAACGGGAGGCCCATGGAGGGCGGGACCTGTGCTCATACGGAGACCTGGACTCCAGCCTTGCTCAGGGACCACTGGGCTGCCCTTTGCAGCAGAGACGGGAGGTGAGAGATCAGGCCAGGTGAAGGCTGCCGGTTGGGAGCGCGCCCAGACAGCACAGGTCTCCTTGGCTGTTTCTCTGGCATCTGATGGAACGTCACAGTCTTGGGGAACATGCACCCTGTCTGCAGCCAGCCCCCTTCATCTGGTCCACAGAGGTCGATGCCCCTGCATTTGCCGGCAGCGGTGGATGTGGTGGCCGGGCCCGAGATCGGACCTTATTGTGGCCTCAGTACAAGGCTCCCTGTTTATTTTCACTCACGTCCACCTCAGTGCCCGCCTTCAGCGTCGGGGCCGTGGGTTTGCACAGCTGCCTTGGCCCGCCCCAGGTTTTGTTTGCTGTGGAGTGGAAATCGTCCTCACCAATTTTTCTGTTTGTAAAAGCAGCACCTGTTTCTTCGTGAAGGGGTTTTTCACAGAAGAGCCAAAGCTCAGAGTGGAAGCCCCCCACCCATCCCCCAGAGGGGCCTCTGTTCCCAGTGTGGGGCATGGCCTTCCAGC